TGCTTATGTAAACAAACCTACTGTTCTGCTAGTTTTATAGGTGTATAGAACATACAATCCTGTACAGTGCATGACACTTGATAATGATAATGAATGACTGTTATTGGAGTATGTATTTACTATATTACATATTTCATTATTAATTTAGAGTACATTTTATTGACTTATAAAAAAAGTTTTCCGCAAAACAGTGTTCTGTGTTACACAAGCATAATTCTCATACATCTCCGTTGTGTCTTGATTACATTATTTTCTCTTTTGCTTGACTTAATCTCCTTCAGTTGTGGTCATCATGGCCCTTCTGGCCGGGACAAAATGTGGAAGTGGAAGACAATGATATTAATAATATCATGACCCTGTGTAAAACTAGGCTAATAAGTAGGTTTATGTCTTTGTTTTTAACAAAACAACTTAAAAAAGTAAAATAAATAGGTAAATATTTTTTAAATACAAGAAAACTTATGAAACAAAGATATAAAGAAGGAAAATAATTTGTAAAAGTGTACCATGTGTTTGGGTTTTAAGTTTTATAAGAGTCAGAAAGTTAAAAAAAATAAGTTTATAAAACAAAAAGTTACAGTCCAGCTGGCATGTCATGATTAGGGTGGGTAGATCCATGGCTGACTGTGTGGTTCAAGTCCTGGACCCAGTAGCATGCTCAAAATCCTGAAAGGAGGAGAGACAGAGAGAGGAGAAGGAATTGTGACATGGCCATTCCACATGGGGAATGCTCTCTTCCTTCCCCTCTCTTTTTCTTTCTCCTGTGAGCATACACACCCTCTGGCAAAGTTTTCAAACAGAGTGGGGGCTTGTCAGCAGGTGACATAGTAGTTGAGATGCTGGACTCCCACATAGTCGACTATGGTTCAAATCCCAGATTTGCCAGCTTGAGACTGGCACCAAGTGCATGTGCATTCATGCCCAGGGTCCCAAGAGGGGAGTGGAGGAGAGAGGATTGTGGTGTGGCTGTCCTCCCAAGGGGTGATTTCTCACTTTCTGTCTTTCTGTGTCTCTCTGGCAAGCACATGTGCCCTACAGCAAGAAATCTTTCCAAAAACAAAAAAAAAGCTATACTAAGCTAAGGGTACATGTTACTGAATATTTTCTTTAAAACCTTTTTTTCTTTATACATGATAATGCACATATAAAAGAGAGTAAAAGGGAACCAGCAGTTAGCGTAATGGCTATGTCACTGGACTCCCACATAGTCGACCACAGTTCGCGTCCCGGACCCGGTGGCTTAAAACTCACGCCGGGCACATGTGCGTACATGCCCAAGATCCCGAGAGGAGAATGGAGGAGAAGGGATTACGGCATGACCATCCCCCCTGAGGGGTGATTTCTTGATTTCTGTCTCTCTGTCTCTCTCTGTCTGTCTGGTGAGCGCACGCGCCCTATAGCAAAAACCTCTCCAAAAAAAAGAAAAAGAAAAAGATATCTACAATTGTATAAAGTAATGTTCTAGGCCTTCACATTCACTGACCACTTATTCACTGACCCACTTAGAGCAATTTCCAGTCTTGTGAGCACATTTATGTTAAATGCCTATACAGATGTACCATTTTAAATCTTTTATACTCTATTTTTACTGTAATAATTTACAATCATCTACAGTATTCAGTACAGTAACATACAGGTATATAGCCTAGGAGCAATAGATTATACTTTATGCCCAGATGTGTAGTAAGCTATACTATCTAGGTTTTTGTAGGTGCACTCTATTATGTTTGCACAATGGTAGAATTACCTAATGAACATTTCCTAGAACAAATCACTGTCCTGGGGCTAGTAGGTGGAGTAGTGACTAAGGCGCTTTATTCCTACATGGCCAACCATGGTTTGAGTCCCAGACATGGAAGCTTGAAACCCACACTGAACAAGTCATTCAATATGTCCTGTGGATCCCATAGGGGCAAGGTATACACCCAAAATCCCAAGAGGAAAATGAAGGAGAAGGGATTTCAGTGTGTCCATCCCCCCCAGGGGGTGATTTTTCACTTTCTATCTCTCTGTCTCTCCAGTAAGCACACACATGCTATAGCAAAAATCTCTCTCATTTAAAAAAAAAATAGTAATAGTGCCTTATGAGAGTCATGTGTCCTTAAATTACACATGGCTGTAGTTTTTTTCTAAAATTAGAAAGGTAAATATCAGAAGAACAAAAAATAGTCTTTGAGACTTTGAGAGGATATATGAAATGGTATAAGCTAAAAGCTCGTCTGTCACAGTTCAAAGTCAATAGATAATGTCTAAAAATACTAAATTTAAAAATAGCAACAGATGCATATAATTTATAGACACGAATTAAAAGCTAAGATAAATCATTACAAGATTTAGAAGAGATTGTCTTGGGGGAGAAGATATGGTTTTGTTTCATTTTAAGCCTCTCTGAACTGCGCACTATAACCTATGTGTACATATAAATTTTATTGGAATTTAAAAAAAAATTTTTTTTGAGAGATTTTCACTGTAGGGCGTGTGCACTCGCCAGACAGACAGAGAGAGACATAGAGACAGAAAGCGAGAAATCACCCCCCAGGGGGGATGGTCACGCCGCAATCCCTTCTCCTCCATTCTCCTCTCGGGATCTTGGGCACGCACGCACACGCGCCCGGCGTGAGTTTTAAGCCACCGGGTCCGGGACACGAACCGCAGTCGACTACGTGGGAGTCCAGCGACATAGCCATTATGCTAACTGCTGGTTCCCTAAGAACTTTTTTTAAAAGAAGAAAGTATACCAGAATTGTGTACTATACTGAGCACTATCCTTGCTATTGGGATATCTAAGTTATGGTCACTTAAGTAAAATTTTACTTAAATATTTTTGCATCGTTTCAACTGAATGTGCATAGGCTTTGCAATCAGACCTGCATACCTTGATCTGGCTGTGGTTGTTTCCTTAAGTCAAATTTACTCTACCTGTGTGTGTGTTATAATTACTCTCATAAGGCACTATTACATTTTCATCTATCTCTTTCACCTTCTGCTTCAACAAGTATCCTGTGTAGTTCATGCATTTGTCATTAGGAAGAACAAAGAAGTTTGAGGTTTAGAAGACCAGGTTAGAGAGCAGACTGACATTGAATAACCTTCAACTGAGCAAGCCACTCAACATGTCCTGTGGATTCCATAGGGGGAAGGTACACTGAAATATAGTGTATTTGTGTGTGCTCAAAGATAGAATTAAAAACATTGTTCGAATGAACCAGAAGTAGGGACTGTTTCATCTATCTGTATAGCTGAAACCTGCAATGGAGTGATGCCTGCTGTCTGCTCCAGTTGTCCCAGAAGGGCTGTGAACTGAGCCTGGGGCTTATCTGTTCAATGTACAGTCTCTCAGGGTCAGCCTGGAGCCCAGGCTTTCTGCCCAGGGAAGGATTCAACAGTCGGGAATGACGTCCACCCCAGGCAGTGACAAGTGCTGAGCATGAGTTTCCTCTCTGGCCCCCTTGGCTGAACAGTGATTAATGCCAAATTAGTACCTTGCTCAGTGACCTTTCAGTGTCCGCTTCTTGCTCTCCTTCACTTCTCATAACTGTTTGCAAATATTAGCTTCTCAGGCCGTTTCTCCTCATCAGCGACTTTCACAGATGACAGGCAGGTCGCTCATCTGATTGGCATTCAGCATACGTCCTTTGCCCCAGCATGAATGTATCTGTACTCTGGCATCTCCTCAGAAATCCGATAACTAAGTTCAGCGATCTCCGATTCTATAAAGGGAGAGTGTCTGCAGGAGCATGTTCAGAGGGGCCCTGGAGGGTCGGGTCCAGAATTAGAGGGCTTGGGAAAGGTGAGACTGCCTCTCAGCTTTCCAGAAAATCCAGGGTTAAGGGAAAATCAGCTTCACATCACATAATCAATATAATTTAAAAATTAATTCTTGGCTTTTTCTATATCAAGCTGGGGACTCCCCCCCTTTTTAAATACACATGCACTTTTAAAACCAAAAGCACACGCTGCTAAATATAGTGAAAGCCAGAATGCAGAGCTATAGAAGTCAGCGTTGTAAGAGGCCAGTCCTCTCCTTCCTGTGATTTTCTCAATGGCCTCACCCGCACCACCAGTTTGGCAGGTTGTAAGCTCTCATTTACTGAAGTTCTCCTTAGTGGTTCACAACAGTAGCAGGTCTCTTCAGCATGAAGTATTAGAGGTGCTGCATTTTCAGTCATTTAAATTTATTTTTATGTCCAGTTTCTTACATCTCCACCTTTTATTGAAATCCCTATTTAGAAAAGTTTGATTGGTCTTCATTTCCTCTGAATAAACAGAAGAGAAATGTACTGTGGGTAATTTAACTTTGAAGTTAAGTGGATTTTAGAGAAAAGTGGAAAAAATATGTCATTGTTTTCCTCCCTTGTCACCAGAAGGATGAGCTAAATTATATACTCAGAAAACAGGAGTGGATTCAGGATATTTACTTTTCATAAAAGTAAAAGGGATTGAAACTACAATAACAGAATTGAACATTTTGTTCATTGAATATAAATGCTCCAGGGAATTACATTTGGTCACTAGTAAGAAAGCTGGCTGCTTTCTAATGACACCTGTGCCCAGCAGAGTGCTTGACACATGAAATATTTGTTAAATTGAACAGATTTGAAAATAGTAGTAGACTAGGTAACTCAATAAGCAAAGTCGTAGATCATTTTAAAAAATAAAGCCAGCAAGCATTTTGGAAAATGTTGAACAATTTAAAGCCCCTTAACCACATAATATACCAAATATTAGCATAATGTTCTCAGCTACCATGTGTTCAGTTACAGGCTGTGGATCCCACCAGAGGAGGCTGGCTATGCTGAGACCCTGACTTGTACAGTCTGATAAAGTCCACTGATAGTTACCACACCACAGGACTCATATGGGGTTTGAGTAGGGTCATGAGATTCTGGACTTCCTATCAGTTTGTCTCAACAAGCTCCTTTATTTGTTATATTCCAGTCATCCCATCTTCTATACTTAGGAGATCCTCATGGACATTTTTTTAATTCTCTCTGCCACAGGAGATATTGACACACCTGAAACCCTGGCCCCTGTCATTGTGGTTCCCCCCGGCAACAGAAGTGTGGTGGCTGGATCCAGTGAGATCACCTTGGAATGCATAGCCAGTGCCAGGTAAGGGGCCAGCTCTTTCTGTGGGAATACTAATTAATTCTACCTGTGATGAGCCAGTGGTAGGAAAGCAGTGACACCTGTTTACTCTTCTACTACCGTGGTCTTGTTTGTCCAGTTAGGCATAAGCACAGCATATGGGAAGACAGGGAACTAAATGTGAGGCTTGTGTTGCAATAGGATGATGCTTTTTAATTTAGCTATGAGTGATAGTGAAGAGCTTCCTCTGAGATTCCAGCTAGGGAGGCGAGGGGAGTTAAGGCCTTCAAATAACAAAGGAAAGAGTTAATTTTCCTTCTTTGTGGTCCCAGGTACTCTGTCTACTTAGTGACGGCTCCGGAATCAAGTTCAGATGATCACGCCTCCCATATCACTGTGTCCCCTAGTAGTATTTATTTTAAACATTCTTTTCCTGAGCAAATGGAATCATTAGCACTTATGGTCCATTGCTACTGCAATTAGCTATCCTTGCTCAATAGCCCTTGAGCAGAATGTATCGTTGATGCATGCCATAAGGGAGTAGAGTTATATCTGGATTGATTTTTAAATGTCCATTGTTTAACCCACCATGGTTCCTGGTAGAATTAGCTTTTGTCAAGCTTGTGCTGAATGGCTAAAATTATTATTATTGCCATCTACGTGATTCACAATTTTTGTCACTAATGCCCTTTGTCTTCACAGGCCTGTGGAAGAGCTAAGTATAAACTGGAAAAGAAACGGGGTGAGAATCACCAGTGGACTGCACAGCTTTGGGAGACGCCTTACCATCAGCAACCCAACATCTGCAGACACTGGGGTGTATGTTTGTGAGGCATCACTGAGACGGAGTGCTTTTGAACCAGCTAGAGCGAAAGCCTTTCTTTCTATCATAGGTAAATCTCCAACCAGTACATAATGTTGTCAGCATTCTCAAATACCATCCCCATACTGACACATCCATGGAAACAAAACAGTAACACCTGTGTTTCAGTGACTTTTAACTCAGCAAATGGTGGTGAGGTTGAGTTTATCTTCCAAATCGTCCTGTTTTTCTTTTCTAAGAAAATAAATCCATTAAATCCAAACCGCTGATGTCCCGAATACTTCTAGTCATAAAGCTTGGGAAATAGAGTGGTAAAATCCTTGTCATATATCTCACCTTCCTATTTTGGCTGTTTTGCCAGTAAGCTTTTCTATAACCCTTATGTGACTATTATTATCAGTCCTCTGAAATTATTCTATTACTGTTGATACTTTCTGACCCAGGAGAAAGTTAAAAACTATTGAATGTTACCTTTTGTCAAACTGAAAAGTGAGAACAGAGAAGCTTCCTAAAAATGGGGAAAGTACTATTCCTAAACCAAGGCAAGTGAAGAGATAGAAGTTCTTTTGATGGAGCTAGCCAGCAGAGTGCTGTTTGGTGCAGCTGGATGCCATGTGGCTGATTCCGTGGTTTAAGCCCCAGACCCAACAGCTTGAAAAATATACAGAGTGAATGTGTGTGTGTGTGTGTGTGTGTGTGTGCCCCAAACCCCCAAAGAATAGAGGAGGTGGAATTGCAGTTGTGGCCATTCCGCTGGAGTGGGGGTAGAGGGGGATTTCTCTATCTCTTTGTTGCTTGGTTGCCGGCAAGCACATGTGCCCTATAGCAAAAAAAAAAAAAAAAAAAGTACCTTTGAGTTGCCTAGCTCTAAATGCTGGAAAATAGTGCTTAAGAAGTATGTATTCTACAGTGACTAAAGAAATCCTAAATTCATTATCAGATTGTGATAAGATTACAGTAAATTGAGAGGCAAGTGCCTTTATGTCTTTCATTTTCCTACCTAGTCATACGTTTATTCTCCTCAAGTGGCTGAGATTACTACCATAGTGACCTGTCTTTCTCAGTGGTAGCCACTGCTGATAAGAGAGTTAGTGCCATAAAGGTTGGCTCAAGGGAAAGCTATCTCAACTTTGTCTTTCCTCTTTGGGAATAAGGGGAATTGAGAATAGGAGAGATCAAATAAGGAAAAAACCTTCTGAGAGCAATAGCTTCTTAAATAATATATTTTCCAGTCTGCCACTTTGAAAACTAAGAAATTATGAAAGCTTGTATTTTTCTATGCAATTAAAAAGAGTATCAAGGAATACTGCATAAAAGGCAGTTTCCTTTGAGTATGTCACATTCCTGAAAATCTTTAGGAAATGGGTTTGTGCCCTGAATATGACTCTGCTAAATACAATGCAACACAAGCCTATCAGCTCATCTGAAGAAAAATATCGTAAGAATGTTAAAAGTATCAGAGAAAGCAGGCTTTGAGCCACAAATCACTGTTAATTCTACTCTAGGGATCTGAACATATTCCTCAGCTGCCTTTCTCATCTGTACTTTTGCTGTAGATGTAAATATCCTATCCCATTCTCTGCAAGGAATTTTTCATCAAGGTTGATCTATAGCTATATGAGCATAACACATTATAGACTGAACCAAAATTAAAATTTGTGATGTATAAATCTCTAGTAGACAGAATCGCTTTGTGTTAAAACATTTTAAAGTAATTTAAGCAAGAGAAGAAAATTTTACCTCCCTTTAAACTAGAATGTTTTTTCAATCATAATACTCTTTTGAAATATTTAAATCTATCATATAAAGTTAGGTTTTGCATTATTTCTGAATTCCAAAGCATTTTGGCTTTGTGTTTTCTGGAGTTACCATCTCTCTTTGCTCTATTAAGGTATATGAACACATGTTATTTCTTTATGATGTTGATTTAAATCCCCTTTTATTCATAACAATTTGCTGTGACAGGTAGGATTTTGTGGTTGGATCATAGTGGAAAAGCCCTGAAGTGAGTGTCTCTGTCAATCCACATTCAGGGATTTTGGTGAGATTACAACCCCACACCCAGCCACCACAGAGGGATCCTCACAAAATGCTACCAATTTTACAGGGCTGTCACTGGTGGAATTGTGAAAAGAGCTATTGACATGAACATGCAGATAAAAGAAAGCAGAAACAAATCAGCTTCCAATTACTTTCATTTCATACTGATGAGACAAGACAGACTAGTTGCAGCTGTTTACCCCACCTGTCACTTCCCTGTTGTATTGCTTAATTTCTATGGCTTGCAGAGGAGCATAGAGCTCTGACCCAGGCAAGGTTGTGCCTACTGAAGTGACTGTCTCTGTCACATGACTACCACTACTACCTGCATGACTACCACTACTACACCATCAACAGCCCCCACAGTTGGTAATTCATGTTCTCCACCACCTAATCTCAGTTTAGTTGTGCAGCTATTTCTTCAACAAGACTCTCTCTTCCTCTAACCTGCCCTCTACACCTTCCACAACCACCTCCCTTCTCCCCAACACTCCACACAGCCTGACACACTTCTGTGGCTCTTTCATTCCCTGAACACCCTAAGGCAGTGTCCAGAACATCCCCCCACCCATCCTGCCTCAGTGTGACTTTTGACCACCCATGTTTCTATTTCCTTCCTGGCCACTGTAGCCAGCTTTGCTCAGGACAGCAGGCTGGCAGCTCCAGGGATTACCAGCCCCAGAAACAGCCTTAATCAGTGTCTTCCTCACCCCTTGTGGGTGGATTGAATTCAGGGGCTGTGTTCCATGCTGGCTTCTCCAGTTTCTCCAACTTCCTATAGTAGAAACTGTCTTGATCACATGCTCTTTGAGGAGAGGGGGTTCCTCACTATCTTACTTCCCATAAAAACCAATGGCATTGAACCTCAGGGTTTGGTCTGGAGGAGGCCAGCCCAACACTTGAGTTATGTTTTTGTTAGAGCATTTGGGATATGTCAGAGGGGCAGCGCTGCATGATGTGTAATGGCATAGGTTTACTATAACATTCACTGGCTTGAACAAGTGTCTTTGATTCTGTTAGCCTTAGTTTTCACATCCATAAAATAGGGGCAATGTAGATAATTATAAGGGCTTATATTGTAAAGATTAAATGAAGTAATGCCTGTCACAGAAGCTCTGTAATAGCTCTCTTATTAGCTATTGGCATAACTTTGTTATAACATATGTCACATCACACATAACGGTTATGTGGCACACATTTTTCATATTTTCTGCCTCCAAAAGTGGTAATGTCTCACAATCCATGGAAGCATAATTTTTAGGGGGGGGTAAATAAAACAATAATGCCATTTACCAATGACTGCCCCATCTTCGATTCAGTGAGAGGCAGTGTATACATCTTTCCCTCCAGACTAACAAGGTCGACATTTTCAGTGTGTGAAGAAGAGAAATAGAGTACCATTCACATGCATGTTCTGCTCCTGCAAGTGTGCATATCCTGACACACTGTCTCTTTCATACCCACTCAAAAACTCAGAATGTTGAGAGTAACTATTATAGAGAGCCATTTCTACACATCTCAAATCTGTTTTCATTTTTTATATACAAATAATTCAGGAATTTGAGTACTGTAGCTATCATTAAAATGACAAATTACTTGTAACATCTCTTGGCTGATACCTATGCTGCAATAAGAAGTTATTTTTTAGCAGTACGATCAGGTTTTCCAGAGCTGAAACTGAGCTCCTCTAAATGTTTATATATCAGCAAAAATAATTCCTAACCTCCTTTCCCATTTGCTTCCTTCTCTACTTCCTCTGTCCCTCTCTTCTTCTCTCCCTTCCTTCCTTCCTTCCTTGTTTTCATCCTTCCTCTCACATATTACATAAATTTGTACTGAGAACTCAGTTTGAAGGAGTCAGGGAAGCTTTATACAAGAAGGGACACTTGGGACAAGCAGTTGATATAATGGCTATGTTGCTGGACTTTCATGTAGTCGACTGCAGTTCAAGTCCCGGACCCAGTGGCTTAAACTCACGCCGGGCGCACAAGCACATGTGTGTGTGCCCAAGATCCCGAGAGGAGAATGGAGGAGAAGGAATTGCGGCGTGGCCATCCCACCTGGGGGGGTTGATTTCTTGCTTTCTGTCTCTCTCTCTCTCTCTCTCTCTGTCTTTCTGGCGAGCGCATGTGCCCTATAGCAAAAACCTCTCCAAAAAAAAAAAAAAAAAGAAGAAGAAGTAGACGAAGGGACACTGCAATGGAAATTTGAAGGTTTAGTCCAAATTTGACAGGTTGAGAAAAACATTCTATGCAGAGGGAATAGAATAGGTACATTATTTTTGTACTGCTCTTGTGAGACGTTTCCACAATTTTAACAAAGTAAAATAATATGTATTTCTTACCCTACAGTTGTGTGGACCAGAAGTTTGGATGGGCTCTGCTATTTTTTCTGTTCTTTGTCTCACAGGCCACAAAGCAAGACTTAGGCCAGGCTAGGCTTTCATCTGGAGCCTTGGTGGTAGACCCACTCTCAGGTTCATTCTGGTTTTTGGCAGAATTCCATGCATGTGGTATGGGAATGCCTGCTGGCCAAGGGTTCTTTTCAGGTTCTACAAGCCACCTCATCCCTGGGCTTATGGCCACCTTAATCTCCAAAGCCAATGTCAGCAGATCTAATCCTTCTCACACCTGGAATCTCTCTGTACTCTCTCTGCCCTTTCTTGTTTCCAGTTGTAGAATGTTCTCTGCTTTAAATGGTCCATGTGATTAGACTGGGTCCTCCCTGATAATTAAAGATAATCTTCCTGTTTTAAGGTTAGTGGCCTAAATCACATCTGCAAAGTCTCTCTTGCCAAGTGACTGAGCATATTCACAGGGTCCAGGGTTTTGGGTGTGAATATCTTTGGGGACCTTGTGGACAGAGCTGCCGTGTAACAGAACATATTCACAGGGTCCAGAGTTTGGGGTGTGAATATCTTTGGGGACCTTGTGGACAGAGCTGGCAAGCTAAGGACATACCAGGGATTGTTGCAGCTTGAGACAGGCCTTCAAGAAGTGAGTGGAAGACAGAGCAGGGAGCCTCTTTCGGTCTTGCAGTGATCCCTAACCAGGACAAGCACCACAACTAGGTGGAAGCCAGAACTCAGCATTAGGAATGGGGAAAAATGATGAATTCAGATACACATGGGCTGTCTCTACCATGGCTACCTCTGTTGGTTCGGAGCCTGCATTTTGTCACCCTGGCATTTTGGAGGGTGGAAGATTTGATAGAGGCCCCTGGTTTTGGAGCAGCCAGGGAATTATCCCCACCTCAGATTCTGAGAATATGGAACTGGAGGCTTGTGCTGCTTCTAGAGGCAGCTGCCATGGATTCTGGGCAGAGATTGAGGATGGTCAGCCTGTGCTTGCCTTTTCTTGGACTTCACACAAGCATCAGAGAAACTTTTCCTGATGTCTTCATATTATTTCACAAGAAATAGAAGTGTTTGTTTCATTCCCCAGTTTTATTGTCTACAGCTGTGATCAATTTTTAAATGTCTGGCGTGGGCCTAGGTTGGCAAGTATACCCTTTCTAAAAAGAGTGGTTGCTAATTAGCTAAGACACATCTTTACCTACTTGCCCTTTGATGATTAAGTGGTTGGTAAACTCTCCTCACAGGATTACTAATTCACATTGGATTCACCCCACTGTTCAACTCACAGTCCTCTCATGGCTGATATACCTCGCATTTCCTGCCTTTCCTTTTTTATAGAAAACTATGTGTAAAAATAGTAGCTGGGGATGGAGAGAAGACTTTTGAGCAACTGTTGAGTCAGGACACTGTGAAGAATCAACAATGAAAGGAATTGTAGCTTACCTGAGGTGGGGGAGAATAAAATAATGGTAGGGCTACATAGGTGGTTAGGACCTTTTGCAGCTCTGTACATAACCTGACTGCTCAGCTGCCTGGAAAATTTTCTAGGACAAGATAAGAGCATCAACAATGAATAAATATGCTTTGCCTGTGTCATTCCTGGCCTTCCCTGGTATTGGTTCCTGCAAACATTGGCAGGCTGCCCTCTCAGATCTTACCTAGGTCAAAGTGCCAGGGACTGTGTATGTGGTGGGATGAGTTGTACCAGCAGGCTTCACTGTGTGAACCAGGCCCACATGGTTGTCAGTGCTCAGAGATCAGAGGCCTTGGCCTGTCTAGGGATGTCTGATGTACATCCCAACCCCAAAACCAAGCACTTGCTCAGTCTGAGTCAGCTTTGGGTCACTATGTAGAGTACCTTGTCTATGACCTTAGTGAGGACCTTCCCTGTTACTTGGGAAAAGACATAGGGCATGGTGTCAGATAGCATCTGTAATCAATACCTTAAGGAAGGCAGTAGGGTTCTGTAGGTTCCAATTATATATATATATATATAATCAAAGTGTAACTTGTCTTGGATGACTTTCAAGGGAATTAAGCCAAGTGAAAAAACTCAATTCCAAAAGTTACACTACATGACCCCATTTATATAATATTCTTGAAATGATAACCTTATAGAAATAAAGAACAGATTAGTAGCTGCTGGCGGTTAGAGCAGGGGCTTAGGGGGTACATGGTTGTAGAAGAGCAACACCTTTGTGATGATGGACCCATTCTGTATCTTGACATGGTGGTAGACACATGAATCTTCATATGTGGTAATGCTGCCTAGAATGAAACACATGTGTTCTTTCACACAGACACACATATTTGAACACAAGCAAAACTGGGGAGATCTGAATAAAATAGGTTGGTTGTATTGAAATCAGTATCGGGATTGAGATAACAGTACTATAGTTCTCTAAGCTCTGACCATTGCACTAAACTGAGTGACAGACGCCAGGTTCTTTCTGTATTATTTCTTACAGTTGAACTCTATAGTTATCTAAAAAGGAAAACTATTATTAATCAAAGCAAATGGTGATATTTAATATACTTTTTTCCTTTCTCCTCACATCCTTTTAAATGGATCATGATGGTAGATATTGACTTAGCATTCATCAATGAATATGGGACATGACCTACACACAAGGACCTTTACAGGATGCAGCTACTGTATAGTTAGAATATAAATAACGCTGCTATCATTATTATTGATTAAGAAAACATAATTAAAGCATGAACATGTGAGTATGCAATGAAGACTAGCTTGAAAAAGTTAGATACTAAATCTGTACAGTATTTCTTTGGGCCTGGTTTATACACATGAAAAACTAAGTACAGGATTCTGCTTCCATCTAGTGAATTTGCAGCCATCTTCTCTGCCAGAGTGGATAATTCAGGCAGATTGTCTCTGCTTGAGTGGTCCAGGTAATTGCAGAATTGATACCTAACTTTGCCTCCATTCAGAAACCTTCAGCCTTTTCTCCTTAATCATTTCTCTGAAATGCTAAGCTTTCATTTCTCTTTTTCCTCTTTAAGCTTCCATCCTGTTTTAAAGATACAGTCAATACAAGAGGCATGCCAAGCTATATTATCCACATTTAATACAATTACAATGAAAATAAACCACTCTGGAAGACAGTTCCCAGAAATTAATTATCACACAGAAAGTGAATATAACAGCCTTTTGTTATCATGATAATGAAATTACAACCACCCTGATACTCAAAGAACTTGGCCATGCCTCTGTTGTATTTCTGCTGAATAAACCAAGAAAAATATTGCAATTTACTCTCCAAGGAATTCATTGTTTAATACAACCACTATTTTTTCTGCTGTTGAACGAGCAATTGGCATATCTAAGATATACAAGTGGTTAAGAGTTTCCTTTGCTACTAAAGGTGGAGAGCCCCCCATCATTTTTTCCCTTTGCTATTATTTTACATTCTATTAAAGTATTAAATTAGTATTTTGGAGAAGAACGGCTAAGACTTTAAAAACATGTTAATAGGCCGCACTGTTCCCTGATATAAGCCTGATGCCTTGCTGTAGTACTTTATTTGACATGCTTCATGAGTTGGTGTTTAGTTTAGATACAAAAAAAATTTAGCCTATAAAATACTGTGTTGTAAATATAAACCTTTATGAACCTCTTGGGGTAGTCTTTCTAAAATGTGAATTAAGATATTCCATGATTCAAGCCCATAAACTGAAAAGTAGCCAGCGCCCTGAGTAGTAATTTGCTTTCTGAAACCCTAGAATATAAATTGCCTTTGGCCTCTGCTCACTGAATTCTAAATTTATAGTGGTGGAGTTTTTACAAATAGTTTTTAAAAGGATCTCAAACTATTTTAGACTGTTATAGTCTTTGACATATCCTCCTTTTGCCTAGAGTCTGTTTTTTCTTTGTGTGTGTGTGTGTTTGTTTGTTTAAAGAGCCACCATATTTTACTGCT